GGTGAGAGCCCAGCCTTGAGGTTTCTTGGTGAGTCCAGAGGTTCCCCCCTCCCTGGTGCTCTAATGCAGGGACCAGTGTTTCCTCCTTGCCATACCATAAGAGTCCTGCCCTGGTGGGCGGCGCCAGAGGTGGGGCGTGGGCCCCACCCAGTACTCCCCAGACTCAGCTCTGGAGGTGGGCATGGGGACAACTCTGGCCTCTACGTCCTCACTCTCTCCGTGTCTTCGGCTTTGGAGGTCCGAGTCCCTGCAGAAGTCCTTGCTCTGATGCCCCAGCCTGTCTGCTCCTCTCCCCGTTGTGCCCGCCGCTTCCACCGCCTACACAAGGAGCTGCGGGTCTCAGGGCGCTGCCCGTGCTGTGTGTGCTGAGACCGCCACGTGGACCAACCTCCCAGAGTCAGAGAGCACACAGGACCCGACTCCAGGGACGGCGCGGACATCCAGTTACGCTGAAACTGTTACAAGGAGATGTTGCAGTTTGTGTAAAGACGGATTTTACCATTTCTGATGGAGACCATTTCCAGGTGGTTAATAACATGTTAATACACACTTTCAAAATCCTCATGGTAGTAACAGAACATCAACTTCGATCTTGGGTCAGTGTAACTTTGCATTAACACTCAACCTTCAGAAAACTCTGCAAACAATATTGAAAATCGTAACTTTCCTTCTAGGATTAATTACTCTCACACTTAGTGTGAGTTGCTCACACCTTTCTAAAGTTAAACTCAGGGCCGGCCCTGTGGCACAGGGGTTAACGCCCTGGCCCCAAGTGTTGGCATCCCACATGGCCACTGGTTCGAGTCCCAGCTGCTCTTCTTCCAATCCAGCTCTCTGCTATGGCTGAGAAACCAGTAGAAGATGGCCCATGACCTTGTGCCCCTGCACCCGCCAGGGAAACCCGGAAGATGCTCCTGGCTCCTGGCTTCGGATTAGCGCAGCTCAGGCTGTTGCAGCCTACTGGGGAGTGAACCAGTGGATGGAGACCTCTCTCTCTCTCTCTCTCTCTCTCTCTCTCTCTCTCTCTCATTTTCTGTTTCTGCCTCTCTCTGTAACTCTGTCTTTCAAATAAATAAAATAAATCTTTAAAAAAAAAGAAAGTGAAAGTTAAACCCTCGCACCTGTCATGTCGTCTTGAGTTGCCATGGATGCACAGCCTGTGAGAACACACCTTCAGGAGCCCAACTGTCGCCCTTACAGCAGTGATTGTGCTAAGGGCACACACGTTCCCTTTGCGCAGGTGTACTTAGCAACGACGCTGGATGACGTAAGACCCTGAGATACGCATGAGTACCACGCCGTCATCTGGATGATCTTAAGGTCAAAATGAGACCTCCATGTTCTAAGTAACGGCCAAGGACAAACCCACCTGGACAGCACACACAGACACTAGTGCGTGTTGGCAGCTATGGAAAGATCTTCATGCTTGAAGGAAACACGTTTGGACACATCACCAAGGACTCAGGCGAACCGAGCGAACCCAGCGGACCCACGGGCGGCAGGACTCACCCACTCTGGAAGCTGCTTGCCGGGCTTCCTGTGTCAGCACCACAAAGGCTGCACACACAGAGCTTGCTCTCATCCCTGTAAGCCCACTCTGTCTGGACAGCAGCCTGAACACAGCACAGCTCCCACATGGGTCAAGCCTTGAAATGCACGCTCCGTAACCTGAATCCACTCAGACAGCTGTGGTGTAGCAAATTCAAAGTCTCGTCCTTTGAGGGTTCCTGGGATCCGACGGGGAACCTCAAAGTGGGAGACGCGGTTCGGAGTCCGTAGTTCAACCTGGGGACTTGAACCAGGCTGCGGCCAGGTCTGATCAGAGGGAAGGGAACCTCTCAAGCTTGAGAAACAGAGATCACACAGACACCTTGTTTTTTCACGATTTATTTTATGTAGGTGAAGACAGAGTAACAGAGAGAGAGGTAGATAAAGAGAGACAGAGAGAAATAAGGAGAAGTCTCCACCCGCTGGTGCACTCCCCAGTGGCCTGCAACAGCTTGAGTTGCGAGTTTCCGAAGTCAGGAGCCAGGAGCTTCTTCAGGGTCTCCCCTGTGGGTACCAGAGGCCCACACACTTGGGCCATCTTAAGTGCTTTGCCAAGCGAAAGCAGAGAACTGAGACAGGGAGTCCTGGGTGGGGTCAACCCTGCACCATTGGCCCCACCCACAAGGCAGCATTCTCAGGGCATAGCAAGGAGGAAACACTGGTCCCTGCATTAGAGCACCAGGGAGGGGGGAACCTCTGGACTCAGCCAGAAACCTCAAGGCTAGGCGATCACCGGGAACCCACAGCTGGAGGGCGCTGCACCATGACGCCTTAGGGAGGGAAACAATGTTTAATAGGAAGAATGTCACAGGTCAGGTGTCGCTCCCCCTCTTCGTGGAGGAGCAACACAGGACCCTGCGCTGTTCTTTCTGTCTGCTCGGCCCTCCCCGGGTTTGCTGCTGGTTCTTCCCGGGTTGGCTACTATCCCTTCCACCTCCGTGGAAGGGCAGTTCCCCCTGGCCGCATTCCCCACTTCCGCAGGGGAGCGGCACACCGCCGGCCGGCTCTTCTCGGGGGCTGCACAGGTGTTCCCTCAGCTAGATGTTCCCCATAGATGTTCCCGGTGCATGCCGTTTCTCTCCTCCTTTATAGTCCTTCTCTGCCAATCCCAACTCGGCTGCCCACACGCCAAGTACGCTGCTCTCCAATCAGGAGCAAGTCCTACAGTTAATTGGTTGAACTGGAGGCAGCTGTGCGGAAGCTGTTTACTTCTCTCCCAGCGCCATATTGTGGGAGAGCAGATGCATAGAATAAGTCTTAATTCGAGTACCTTAGTCTAGTCCGGATTGCTCCCCACAGATCCCCCTTTCTTTTTATTTTTTGGCGTTGATACGCGCCTGTCTTCGGTGTCCCGCAGCACACACTCTGCTGTACTTGCTAGAGTTGCCACAGGCTCTTACAAGTCCTATCAATCAGGAAAACCGAATCCGGGTCCTCTCTTCGCCATTGTGAGGAGGTTTTTAGGCGCTGATGCGTGCCTGTGTTCGGTGCCCTGCAGCGCATACTCTGCTCTGCTCGCAGGGGCTTACAAAACCTATCAGGCAAACCGAATCCAAGCCTTCTCATTGCCTTATTGTGGGGGAGACTTATTAGTGTTGGTTCGTGCCTATCTTCGGTGACCTGCAGCTCATACTCTGGTCGAGCTTTGCTGGCGCTTACCGCCTTAAATCAGGCAGACCGAATCCAAGCCTCCTAATTGTTGCATTGTGGGGAAGCTTTACTGATGTTAATTCGTGCCTGTCTTCGGTGACCTGCGGCTAGCCGCCCAGGTGCTCATCGCCTCACTTGATTAGGCAGACCGAATCCAAGCCTTCTAATTGGCATGTTGAGGGGAGGCCTTATTTTTCTCTATTTCTCTATCTCCGGGCATTCCTACTTCTCCCATTTTACTTCTATCTTCCAGCATTCCTATTTCTCTCACTTTACTTCTAAAACTTCTGTTTCTCTTATCCCCGCAGCTTCCCGGCACCTCGCCCCGCCGGCGGGTTCCCGGCTCTGCGCCGCTTCAGCCCGCGCGCCTCTCTCATCTGCGCAGCTTCCCGGCTTTGCGCAGCTCGGCTTTGCGCGCTCCGCGGTCTCCACGCTTAACCCTTTCGCGTCTGAACCACGGCCTACGCCAGCCCCGTTCCCTATCTATTCACGCCCCGTGCTCTCTCTGCACGCGGCGGCTTCCGCGAGTAACACAGCGTAGCTTGCGTCTCCGCCACTAGGATTCAATCTAAGTTCCCCGGGCTAGCCTGGCGAATTCAACCCAGCGTACGTCTCCGCCCCACGGTTTGGCTTCCCGTCCTTTGCTCCCCGGGCTAATCAGACGGATCCCAATCTGGCTTACGTCTCAGCTTCTGGTTTCAACTTTTCGCCCCCTATTCCTGGGCTAACTTGAGAACCCCAAAGTGGCTTTCGTCTCCGCCTCGGCCTGCCCCCCGCGGCTTCAATTTCCCTAACATTTTTCTCTACCCGGTATGTTTCCCCAAACTTTCCTCCAACGATATTCCTCCCTCATTTCTCCTGGCCTCTCCCCACAGTCCGCGTCCGAGTCTGTTTGTTCTAGCTTTCACTTTCGCTTTCGACCTTAGAGATTTCTCCCAGCTTCCCCCCGTAGTCCGTATCCGAGTCTATGCCTAGGCTTTCAATAGCTTCTTCCGGCACCTTTTTCGTCCGGCTTTTCCCTAGGCTGTTTGCTAGTCTCTCTCTCCGATATTTTCCCAATTCTTCCCGTTTCTTCCCGTTTCTTCCCTCCTAAGTTTCATATCCGTCCTAGGTTTCCTATCCGAGTCACGGCACCATTATGTCGCTCCCCCTCTTCGTGGAGGAGCAACACAGGACCCTGCGCTGTTCTTTCTGTCTGCTCGGCCCTCCCCGGGTTTGCTGCTGGTTCTTCCCGGGTTGGCTACTATCCCTTCCACCTCCGTGGAAGGGCAGTTCCCCCTGGCCGCATTCCCCACTTCCGCAGGGGAGCGGCACACCGCCGGCCGGCTCTTCTCGGGGGCTGCACAGGTGTTCCCTCAGCTAGATGTTCCCCATAGATGTTCCCGGTGCATGCCGTTTCTCTCCTCCTTTATAGTCCTTCTCTGCCAATCCCAACTCGGCTGCCCACACGCCGAGTACGCTGCTCTCCAATCAGGAACAAGTCCTACAGTTAATTGGTTGAACTGGAGGCAGCTGTGCGGAAGCTGTTTACTTCTCTCCCAGCGCCATATTGTGGGAGAGCAGATGCATAGAATAAGTCTTAATTCGAGTACCTTAGTCTAGTCCGGATTGCTCCCCACAGTCAGGCAGTGTTTTTGTTATTTTAAATGACACGCAATTCCCTGGGGAACATACAAAAATAGACACCAGGAAGGGGGCCTGTGCCTCTCAGGAGCAAGGGGCAGGCATATAAAGGGCCCAGCAGGGGAGGTGCCACACAGACACCTCCCTCTGCACCTGCTCCTGCGACCACTCCCCTCCACCTCCAGAACCATGGGCTGCTCTGGCTGTTCCGGGGGCTGCGGCTCCAGCTGTGGGGGCTGCGGCTCCAGCTGCTGTGTGCCCGTGTGCTGCTGCAAGCCCGTGTGCTGCTGTGTGCCCGCCTGCTCCTCCAGCTGTGGCTCCAGTGCCTGCTGCCAGTCCAGCTGCAGCAAACCCTGCTGCTCCCAGTCCAGCTGCTGCCAGTCCAGCTGTTGCAAACCCTGCTGCTCGCAGTCCAGCTGTGGCCAGTCCAGCTGTTGCAAACCCTGCTGCTCCCAGTCCAGCTGTGGCCAGTCCAGCTGCTGCAAACCCTGCTGCTCCCAGTCCAGCTGCTGCAAGTCCAGCTGCTGCAAACCCTGCTGCTCCCAGTCCAGCTGCTGTGTGCCCGTGTGCTGCTGCAAGCCCGTGTGCTGCTGTGTGCCCACCTGCTCCTCCAGCTGTGGCTCCTGTGGGGGCTGTGGCTCCTGTGGGGGCAGCCAGGGCAGCTGTGGCTCCTGTGGGGGCAGCCAGGGCAGCTGTGGCTCCAGCTGCTGTGTGCCCGTGTGCTGCTGCAAGCCCGTGTGCTGCTGTGTGCCCGCCTGCTCCTGCTCCAGCTGTGGCTGCTCCTAGTCCGGCTTCCACCAGCCCTGCTGCCCCCAGTGCCGTGGTCGGAGCCCCGTGGCTCCAGTGCAGGTGTGAGGAGCTGGCACTGAGCTCAGATCAATCCTGCGACCTCACTCCCCACACAGTGCAGGAGCTGCGTCCCCACCCCTGAGCCCCTCCCTCGGGTCTTCAGGCCCCAGCTGAGGGCAGCAGAGTCCTCTGACCAAGGGGCGTCCAGGGCTCTCACCGTGGACTCGCGGCCTCTCCTGTTCTCAGTGAGCGATGCCTCTCATCAACTCCACGGCATCCCAGGGCCCCACCCTGAAGGCAGCCTCCCTGTGGTTCCCGCCGCATCCCGACACCCAAGCAGATTGAGGGGCTGGAGACAGATGGTGACTCCCACCCCCAGGCTGGGACCCTCTTGAGACAGAAGTCTCCTTCACCACTCAACAGGCCAGGTCTAGGGCACACTCTTGGCCCAGTGGGTACCTGCGCTCTCTGATGCTGTCTGTTGAACACGAGCTGTCCCCCAGGGTCCTTCAATAAACTCGCTCCCCACACTGCTGCTGTCTCGCCCTGGTCTCATTGTCCTCTGAGTCCTGGAGTCCCCGAGACTCTGTGCCTCCCCCTGTCTTCGAGGCTCCTGTCCTCGCTCACCCCCCACTGTCCTCGCTTCCTGTCCCTCCTCTAACCAGCACCTGGGCACCTGCCACAAGGCCAGCTGCTCAGTGGACCCGCTAGCAGGACCAGCACTGCACCTGCTACAAGGATCTGGCCCTGTGGAGAGTATAGAAACTGAGGCCAGCAAGGAGGGGGTTGGAAATTCACTGAGTCATAGGGTCAGCTGTGGCACAGCTATTAAGACTGCACTGGGGGGGCCGGTACTGTGGTGCAGGGGATAAAAGCCCTGGCCTGAAGTGCTGGCTTCCCATATTGGCGCCGGTTCTTGTCCCGGCTGCTCCTCTTCTGATCCAGCTCTCTGCTAAGGCGTGGGAAAGCAGTGGAGGATGACCCAAGTCCTTGGGCCCCTGTGCCCACGTGCAATACCCAGAAGAAGCTCCTGGCTCCTGACTTCGGATTGGCACAGCTCTGGCTGTTGCGGCTATCTGGGAGTGAACCAGTGGATGGAAGACCTCTCTCTCTGTTTCCACCTCTGTAACTCTGTCTTTCAAAGAAATAAAATAAATCTTGAGACAAAAAAATCCTCACTGTGGACCCTGCACCCCGTGTCAGAGCCGTCCGAGTCCCAGCTCAGCTTCCAATCAGCTCCGGCCACTCTGCGTGGGTGACGGCGCAGCCCTGGGCTCCTGCCCCCACACGGAGGCTGGATTCATTGCTGCTTCCTGGTTAGGCCGGGCCCAGCCCTGGATGTGGGCAGGGAGTCAGCGGCTGGCAGACGTCTGTCTGTCTGTGTGTCTGTGTGCCTTTCAGATGAATAAAGAGGCAGCAGGAACGAGAAAGTCCTGCGCCAGAAGCAAGCAGCAGAGGCAGAGGAGCTCCCAGGGCGCAGGAGGCCCCGCGGCACTGCCTGGGCAGGGAGAGTCCAGAGTCCCCGCCTGTGTGGCTGCGCAGCCTCCTGGGCGCCCGGCAGGGTCTGCACGGGAGGGTCCTCGCCTGCTTCCCCTCCTGAGCTGCTGCCGAGACCTGAGGGCCTGGAGGGTCCGTTCTGTGCTGTCCTCGAGGTCTCCCTCGGCCCCGGGGTCGCAGTTCAAGTAGCTGAAAGTCAAACAGAACACAGTTCATGGGTGCAGGACCGGGGGTTCAGGGGTGCTCTATCCATCCTCACACAGCCTGGGGTCCCGGCAGCCACAGGAGCACAGGGGGACAAGCGCTGTCGGACTAGGAGCACCCGCCGGGTGCTGTCACCCAGGCCAGCGCCTGGTCTGGACCCAGGATCTCCTGCTGCGTGCCGGGTCTGTACCACCTCCTGACCCCGGGTGGCTCTGCTGAGAGAAATGTGTCGTCTCCCCGTGCAGGAGGGGACGGGCCTGCGGTCAGGGGGCAGAAGGCCTGCTCACCGGATCGGGGACCACAACTGTCACTCACACCCTTGCCAGTCCTGCCCCTGCTCCCCCTGCCTCCTCCTCTATGTGTGTGACGACCTCTCTTCTCTGAAAAGGGCACTGAGTGACACAACAGCCACCATGTTACCCAGGTAACCACACTCAACCTTTAAACCTGGGACCGGCCTGTGGCTTAGGGGACACTGCCACCACCCACAAGGCTGGCACCCACGTGGCGATGGTTCCAGTCCAGGCTGCTCCAGTTCCTACCCAGCTCCCTGCTCATGCGCCTGGGAATTGCACTGGAAGATGCCCAAGTCCATGGGCCCCCATCGCCCACATAGGAGGCCCCGATGAAGGTCCAGGCCCTGGCTTCTGCCTGGCCCAGCCCTGTGCACTGGGGCCATCTGGGGATTGAACCGGCAGAAGGCAGATCTCTCTCTGGGAGCCCCTCTCTGTAACTCTGACTTTCACAATAAATACATCATTTATTAAAAAAAAAAAACCGATATAACTGTATTTCTTAAGATTCTCTCAGTATAAGTTAACATTCTCTCCTTTGCACTAAAGCAATGTTCACAGACACGGGGGTTCCACGTGGAACTGGGTTCTGGCGGGGCCACCTGGGCTACTCCCACCCCCGGAACGCCCACTTCTGTCCCACAGGCAAAACCCTTCACCCCGCCCCCAGCACCATCCCCTGTCAGCCATGGCGGCCTGGACCTGACCTCACCCCGCACCTGCCCCAGGCCGTGGTCTAAATCCTCTGCCCTCGCCCAGGTGGGACTCTGGACGTCACTGCCTGGAGCCGTCCCTCCCCCGAGAGTCTGGAACCAGAAGCTGAGTTCCTGCGTGCAAGCTCACAGTGGGAGGGCACAAGGGCGTCCACCCTAGGGAGAGCTCGGGGAGCCAGGGGGCAGCCAGGCCCCAGGAGCTCCACGCAGCCGGGCGCTCCCGCAGCCACACCCTGGGGGCCTTGGAGGCCCCGCGCCCAGCTCGGCGCCATCTCTCCCTCCTGCCCTGAAGCTGGCGGCCACGGCTGCGGGGTCTGGGCCAGGTCCTGCCTGTAGCGTCTCCCAGGCCATCCTGTCTCTGGTCCTCCCGTCCAAGCCACGGGGGTGCCCTGATGGTCTGACCGGGGTGCCCGGGCTCTAATAACGGCCTTTCTGTCCCAGTCTCCTGGCCAAGCCTGTCGCATCCACGTCTGCACCGACCCTGCCTTGAGGCCACGTGGGCTTTTTCTGTAAAGACCTCCCAGGCCTCCAGCCTCGCCGTCTGCCTCCGTGCGAGGCCACGGCCACGAGTTGCAGGAGCTTTGCTCAGGGACCCGCGCAGGGGTGTTGGAAGCTGCCCCTCCTCGGCTGCCTTGGCCATGACCGCGGCGTGGTGGCGGGTGTCCCGGAAGTGCACGGCTGAGTCCTGCAGCCCGGGCGTCTCCAGCGGGGCAGCCGCGCCGCCCTCCTCGGAGCTGCAGGGCAGAGCTGGTGCTTCGCCTCCGTCCACCGCGGTGGCCCCGCTCTGCACCGCCCTGGCCGAGGCCCTCCTGCAGCTCTGCCCGTGCCTCTGCCCCTTCTCAGGACTCCCGGGATGCCCCGTGCAGGCCCCCTGGCCACCCATCCCCTCCCGCTATGCGGGTGGGCACCTTGCCCAGAACAAGCTCTCATACAGGGCTCAGCCTGGCCCAGCCCTGGGGCCCAGTCAGGACTTGGAGTGGGCGGTGCTCGGGGCCACCGCCAGCCCTCCCAGCGCCCACGGCTACACGGGCAGTCTTCGCCCCGCAGCCTCGGTGGCGCCGTGATGAACCTGCCCGCGTGGTCTGCTCGCTGTTCCCAGAATCCCTCACGCATACACACAGGGTCTCTTCATGCCGTTTCCATGAAAGCGTTTTGTGTGCGTGGTGTGCACACGATGGAGCGTGTAACTGTGCGGGCACTTGGGTGTGTACATGGTGTGTATGCCTGTGCGTGAAGGGTGGTCATGTATGTGTGTGGAGTGGGTGTGGCGTGTGCATGTGTATGGTGTGCGCACTCTCGCATGTGGAGTGTGTGAGGATGTAACGTGGAGACTGTGTGTGAGCTCTGTGTGTCTCTGTACAGCGCATGTGCCAATACTGTGTGTCGTGTGTGCAGTGTGTGCTCCATGTGTGTGTGGCATGTATGCTGTGTGATGGACTGGTACTGATGGATGCACACAAAAAGGCATAGTGTGTGTACAGTGTGTGTATGATGTGTGTGTGCTATCCGTGTACAGTGTGTGTACTGTGTGTGTACAGTGTTTGCATAATGTGTGTGCTGTGTGTATATAGTATGTGTATAAGGTGTGTATTGTGTGTATACAGTATGTGTATGATGTGTGTGTTCTGTGTGTATACAGTGTGTACATAATATGTGCACAGTGTGTGTATAAAGTGTGTGTGCTGTGTATATAAAGTGTGTGTATGATGTGTGTATACAGTGTGTGTATAATGTGTGTGCCGCAGGTGTCTCCCCTATTTCCCTTGGTCCCATAGAGACCTGGAAAATCCTCCACCTTATGCTATATTTCCTTTTTTTAAATATTTATTTTAAGTTTTGAAAGACAGAGTTACAGAGAAAGATACAGAGAGAGAGAGAGGTCTTCCATCCACTGGTTCACTCCTCACATGGCCACAATGGCCAAGACTGTCCCAATCCAAAGCCAGCAGCCAGGAGATTATCCAGGTTTCCCACGCAGGTGCAGGGGCCCAAGGACTTGGGCCATCCCACACTGTTTCCCAGGCCATCGGAAGGGAGCTGAATTGGAAGAGGAGGAGGGAACCGGTGCCCATATCAGATGCCGGAGCTACAGACCAGGGCTTTAACCCACTGTGCCGCAAAGCTGGCCCCAACCTGCTATTATATATTCTCAGTGCCGTCGGCTGATGATCTAATGGCCTCCCCAAGGCCTCCAGATGCAGGGCCGTGTCACCTGCACCCACACGGAGCTCCAGGGCCGTGTCACCTCCACCAACACGGAGCTCCCAGGCTGCTTTCTCAACCCTTAGCGCATCTCTCCCTTGTGAGGTGCCCAGCATCTCCCGTGGCCATGACCACACGGTGCCCACGTCCCTGCATCACGTCCTGCTCCTCACCCTCACGACACTCCCCTGCTCGAAGCTCGCAGGCCTCCGGGCTGCATCTGGCACCTCCCTCTGCTCAGCCCAAGCCCCGGGCTCAGCACCCAGGGAGCGTCTCGGTTCCCAGGAGGAGCCGCTGCCTGCTCCCTGCCTCTCCAGCCCCGCCCCCGCCCTGGCCCTGCTCCTGTGTCCCTCTGTGACCTGGGTGTGCAGGATCCCCCAGCCCTGAGATCCCCGAGGCAGAGAGTGTGGGTCCAGCTGGCCCAGCCCCCACTAGCTGGCCGCGTGGCAGGTGCCCAGGTGCTGCTGCAGGTGCTGACGGGCAGAGAAGGCACTGGGATGAGCGAGGACAGGAGCCTCGGGGGCAGGGGGAGGCACAGAGGCTCGGGGACTCCAGGACTCAGAGGACAATGAGACCAGCGCGTGACAGCAGCAGTGTGGGGAGCGAGTTTATTGAAGGACCCTGGGGGACAGCTCGAGTTCAACAGACAGCATCAGAGAGCACAGGTCCCTACTGGGCAAGGGGCTGCCCTAGACCTGGCCTGTTCCTGTTCCAAGGTGACTTCAGGCTACAGAAGTATCCCAGGCTGGGGCAGCACTGACTGCCACAGGCCCAGGACTTCCCTGGGTGTCGGGGTGCAGGGGGAACCCCAGGGAGGCTGCCTTCAGGGTGGGGCCCTGAGAGGCCGTGAAGTTGATGAGAGGCATCGCTCACTGAGAACAGGAGAGGCCGCGAGTCCACGGTGAGAGCCCTGGACGCCCCACGGTTGGGGGACTCTGCTGCCCTCAGCTGGGGCCTGAAGACCCGGGGGGAGGGGTTCAGGTGTGGGGACACAGTTCCTGTCACTGTGTGGGGAGTGAGGTCGCAGGGCTGATCTGAGCTCAGTGCCAGCTCCTCACACCTGCACTGGAGCCACGGGGCTCCGACCACGGCACTGGGGGCAGCAGGGCTGGCGGCAGCCGGACTAGGAGCAGCCACAGCTGGAGCAGGAGCAGGCGGGCACACAGCAGCACACGGGCTTGCAGCAGCACACGGGCACACAGCAGCTGGAGCCACAGCTGCCCTGGCTGCCCCCACAGGAGCCACAGCTGCCCTGGCTGCCCCCACAGGAGCCACAGCCCCCACAGGAGCCACAGCTGGAGGAGCAGGCCGGCACACAGCAGCACACGGGCTTGCAGCAGCACACGGGCACACAGCAGCTGGACTGGGAGCAGCAGGGTTTGCAACAGCTGGACTGGGAACAGCAGGGTTTGCAGCAGCTGGACTGGGAACAGCAGGGTTTGCAGCAGCTGGACTGGGAACAGCAGGCACTGGAGCCACAGCTGGAGGAGCAGGCGGGCACACAGCAGCACACGGGCTTGCAGCAGCACACGGGCACACAGCAGCTGGAGCCGCAGCCCCCACAGCTGGAGCCGCAGCCCCCGGAACAGCCAGAGCAGCCCATGGTTCTGGAGGTGAGTGCAGGTGGAGGAGGAGTGGTCGGAGGAGCAGGTGAGGAGGGAGGGGTCTGTGGAGGCTGCTCTCCCGGGGCTTTAATTTCCCAGCCGGCACCTGGCCCTGGCACCTGCCACTTCCTCGTGTGTGTTTACGTCACGTTCTTGGCACGTTCTGTGTGTCCTCTACTTAAAAAATAGAGGCTATGCCTGTAGCATGATTGCCCCTCTGCTGTGGTCTCTGCTCCCTGGACAGGTGCAGCGTCGGCTGCTGTTCAGCCAGGGCCGGCTCGGTGCTAACTCCCGAGTGCTCTCTCCGTCTGCCTGCCTGTCTGTCTGCTCTGTGCTCGGCTGCTATGGGGACATTCTTGTGAGTCTGGGAGGTGTTGGGGTGTCTCGTGGACCCAGCTCCCCAATCCTAGCCCCCTGCAGGCCCTCTGCCATGTTCCCTGGCTCCCTGCTCCCCCTCCCCTGCACCTGCGTCCTGCCAGGAACAGTCAGTGAGCACAGCCGCAGAACGCGCTGGCCCAAGCCGCCACCGCTGCCGACCCCACCCCAGCCCTGCCCTGCCCTGCCCTGCCTGTACTTCAGCGGCACAGCCGCGAGTCCCTCTCAGCTCTCCCCTTCTGTCAGCCATCGTGTGGAGAGTGATGGCTCTCTGCCCTCGCCCCATCTGGGATCCGGGCATCACCAGGGGAGGCCCTGGGTTTGCTTATCCCGCCTGCCGACCCCCACGCCGCCCACCCCCCGGCACGGTCCCTGGAGCTCCTCCTGACCCACCTCGTAGCCGGCCCCAGTGTCCGCCCCCGCTCGGGCAGGTGCCCCTCACCCGCTTCTCCCTTGGAGAGCTCCCTGTGGGTCCTCCGCCCACTCCTCCAGTCTGCCCCCCCCAGATCCACGGAGCCCTGTCCACGTCCACAGCGGTCAGCGGGTCGCCCTGCTGTGTTTTGCGGATCCCTTGTCTGTGGGGAACGCATCCTTAGTGACTTCCTGAGGGAGGGGCCGGCGGGTGCCCCCTTTAGACATCGGGTAGAGTAGAGCATCTCAGTGCCCACGGAACCTGAAGACCCTCCCCTGGGCCGTGGCTCTGCGCTGGGCGGGTTTCCCAGACCGGATGATCCTTCTGCTTTCTTCCGGCTGTTGGCACCGCCGACCCCGAGCAAGCCGATGCCCGCGCACGGCTGTTCTTGCGCACGGCCTCTGCCTTTCTCTCTGGAAGCTTCTAGGGTTCTCTCGTGGACACACAACTCTGTGATGTGACCCAGTGCGCCCTGGCTCATGGGGCCTGGGTCTGTGTTTTCCTTGCTGTTTGCTGCTGGCCGGTGGCGTGGAACACGGAGGTGACCACCAGGAGCCCGGCCTGAGCGACGTCGCCCTCCCCTGCCGCCTCCCCTTCGGCCCGGGTCTCAGGAGGACCAGCGGGGCTGAGCCTCCCCCGCCCTCCCCCGTCTCCCGGCCAAGCGCTGCCCTCCTCCACCCTCCGTGGCTGGATTCTCTCCCCCTGCTGAAGCTTCAGTCTCCCAGTCTTATTTTAAATTCACAGGGTCTTGAGGCCATCACCGAGGCCAGCCTCCGGGCAAAGGGATCCTGGGACCCTCAGGCCGCCCCCACCCATGGGCCGACCCCATCCCCCTCAGCCTTCCCCAGCCCCTCTCGGCCTGCCCCACCCCACCTCAGCTGCCCCACCCCACAGGCCGTCCCCATCCCCCGCCAGCCCAGGGTCCTCTCTGACCCAGCGTCCACATCACAGGGACGTCGCCCTGGACACCTCACTGGAACTTTAGCCTGAGAGACGCTGAGCGCTCAGAATTCACGTACACCCGGGGAGGGGCCAGCCTGAGGCGCAGGGTGCAGAGAGGCCACCCGGGACTCCTTGTCCAGGTCAGAGTGCCAGAGACGGAGCCCCACCCCGTCCCGCCCGCCCACTCCCTGCTCATGGCCCTGGGAAGCAGCCTTGGGGCCCTGCCTCCCACACGGCAAACCCTGAGGGAGTTCTGAGTCCTGCATTTGCCTGGCCTAGGCCTGGTGTTGAGGCCACCTGGGGAGTGAACGAGCAGGTGGAAGATTGATGGGTCTCTCTCCCTCCCTCCACTCTCTCTTTCAAATGAAGGAATCCTTTTTTAAAAAAAAATGTAAAACCTAGGGGCTGTGCACTCACCAGGACCCCACAGCTGGGAGGGGCTGCACCATGATGCCTTAGGGAGGGAAACAATGTTTAATAGGAAGAATGACACAAGGTAATGCAGTGTTTTTGTTATTTTAAATGACACGAAATTCCCTGGGGAACATACAAAAATAGACACCAGGAAGGAGGCCTGTGCCTCTCAGGAGCAAGGGGCAGGCATATAAAGGGCCCAGCAGGGGGAGGCACCACACAGACACTTCCCTCTGCACCTGCTCCTGCGACCACACCCCTCCACGTCCAGAACCATGGGCTGCTCTGGCTGTTCCGGGGGCTGCGGCTCCAGCTGTGGGGGCTGCGGCTCCAGCTGCTGTGTGCCCGTGTGCTGCTGCAAGCCCGTGTGCTGCTGTGTGCCCGCCTGCTCCTCCAGCTGTGGCTCCAGTGCCTGCTGCCAGTCCAGCTGCTGCAAACCCTGCTGCTCCCAGTCCAGCTGCTGCAAACCCTGCTGCTCCCAGTCCAGCTGTTGCCAGTCCAGCTGCTGCAAACCCTGCTGCTCCCAGTCCAGCTGTGGCCAGTCCAGCTGCTGCAAACCCTGCTGCTCCCAGTCCAGCTGCTGCAAACCCTGCTGTTGCCAGTCCAGCTGTTGCAAACCCTGCTGCTCCCAGTCCAGCTGCTGTGTGCCCGTGTGCTGCTGCAAGCCCGTGTGCTGCTGTGTGCCGGCCTGCTCCTCCAGCTGTGGCTCCTGTGGGGGCTGTGGCTCCTGTGGGGGCAGCCAGTGGCAGCTGTTGCTCCTGTGGGGCAGCTCAGGGCAGCTGTGGCTACAGTGCTGCTGTGCACGCGTGTGCTGCTGCAAGCCTCGTCGTGCTGCTGTGTGCCCGCCCTGCTCCTCCAGCTGTGGCTCCAGGCCTGCGGCCAGTCAAGCTGTTGCAACGCCCTTGCTGCTCCCAGTCCAGCTGCTGCCAGTCCAGCTGCTGCAAACCCTGCTGCTCACAGTCCAGCTGCTGCAAGTCCAGCTGCTGAAACCTTGCTGCTCCCAGTCCAGCTGTGGCCAGTCCAGCTGCTGCAAACCCTGCTGCTCCAGTCAGCTGCTGTGTGCCCGTGTGTTGCTGCAAGCCCGTGTGCTGCTGTGTGCCCGCTGCTCTCCAGCTGTGGCTCCTGTGGGGGCTGTGGTTCCTGTGGGGCAGCCAGGGCAGCTGTGGACTCCTGTGGGGGCAGCACCAGGGCAGCTGTGGCTCCAGCTGCTGTGTGCCGTGTGCTGCTGCAAGCCCGTGTGCTGCTGTGTGCCCGCCTGCTCCTGCTCCAGCTGTGGCTGCTCCTAGTCCGGCTGCCGCCAGCCCTGCTGCCCCCAATGACGTGGTCAGAGCCCTGTGGCTCCAGGGCAGATGGGAGGAGCTGGCACTGAGCTCAGATCAGCCCTGCGACCTCACTCCCCACACAGTGACAGGAGCTGCGTCCCCACTCCTAAGCCACTCCCCCTGGGTCTTCAGGCCCCAGCTGAGGGCAGCAGAGTCTCCCGACCTGAGGGGCAGTCCAGGGCTCTCACAGTGGACTCGCGGCCTCTCCTGTTCTCAGTGAGCGATGCCTCTCATCAACTCCAGGGCCTCTCAGGGCCCCACCCTGAAGGCAGCCTCCCTGGGGTTCCCCCTGCACCCCGACACCAGGGAAGTCCTGGACAGGTGCAGACGGTGCCTCCCCCACCACCCAGCTAGGGGTGCTCCTGTAGATATAAGCCTCCTTGGCCACAGGAACAGGCCAGGTGTAGTGCACCTCTGTGACCAATTCTGAGTCCTGTTGTTGTAGGCAGCCATATGGGATAGAATTGATGAGGTTTGTGAGCTGGAAGACCAGGCCTTCACCCTACTGTGTGACCCCAGGCCCTGACCTGACAACCTGTGTGCCCACCTGCCCATCAGGCTAATGAACCACTCCCCTCTGGAAGTGGATTAAAGTATAAAGGCCTGGAACATGGTGGACCCAGCTTTTTTTTTTTTCTCCTTTGCCATTGCAGGCGCTGGCTGCCCTGGGCCTCCCGGGTGCCGGGCATTCGGCCCACCCGCCCACGCTTCCTGGCCTGCGCTCCTCCACGAGGCTCCTGGTGCCCGGTGAATCCAGAATTCCCCCCTCTGAGCAGGGCCCTCCCTCTCCTGTGCATTTCTCCACGGAATAAAAGCTGAAACACCTGCCACGTGCCGTGTTCGTTTCTGCTGGCGCTCAGAATTCTTCTGTGGACATTAGGCAAGAACCCACACGGGCTCAGGATACTGGGAGTTCATTAAGAAGCCCGCGGGGATGGGGGCCCATGTCCCGGTATCTCTGTGCTCTCTCACTCCGTCTGTGGAATGCGAGCTGCACCCCACAGTCCTTCAGGAAACTCGCTCCCCACACTGCTGCTGTCACGCGCTGGTCTCATTGTCGTCTGAGTCCTGGAGTCCCCGAGCCTCTGTGCCTCCCCCTGCCCCCAAGACTCCTGTCCTCCCTCACCCCAGTGCCTCCTCTGCCCGTCAGTGTCTGCACCAGCACCTGGGCTCCTGTCACCCGGCCAGCTGGTGGGGGCTGGGCCGGCTGGACCCACACTCTCTGCCTCGGGGATCTCAGGCCTGAGGGATCCTGCACAACCAGGTCACAGAGCGACACAGGAGCAGGGCCAGGGCGGGGGCGGGGCTGGAGAGGCAGGGAGCGGGCAGTGGCTCCTCCTGGGAACAGAGACGCTCCCTGGGTGCTGAGCCCGGGGCTTGGGCTGAGCAGAGGGAAGGCCCAGATGCAGCCCGGAGGCCTGCGAGCTTCGAGCAGGGGAGCGTCGTGAGGGTGAGGAGCAGGACGTGATGCAGGGACGTGGGCACCGTGTGGTCGTGGTCCCGGGAGATGCTGGTAACCTCACAAGGGAGAGATGCGCTAAGGGTTGAGAAAGCTGCCTGGGAGCTCCGTGTGGGTGGAGGTGACACGGCCCTGGAGCTCCGTGTGGGTGCAGGTGACACGGCCCAGCATCATGGATCCCTTTGCAGCCATTAGATCATCAGCCGACGGCACTGAGAAAATATAAAATCAGGTGGGGCGGGGCTTGTGGCACAGTGGGTTAAAGCCCTGGTCTGAAGCGCCGGCATCCCAGATAGGCACCAGTTCGACCACTGGCTGCTCCTCTTCCGAATCCAGCTCCCTTTGTGCTGTGGGAAAGCAGTGGAAGATGCCCAATCCTGGGGCCCCTGCACCTGTGTGCGAGAACCCGTAGGAAGCTCCTGGCTCCTGGCTTTGGCTCGGCGCACCACCGGCCATTGCGGCCATCTGGGGAGTGAACCAGACAATAGAAGATCTCTCTCTCGCTCTCTCTCTCTCGCCCTCACTCCCTCCCTCTACCTCTCTCTGTAACTCTGTCTTTGAAATCAATAAAATAAATCTTTCTAAAAAAGCAAATTGAACAAAAGGTGGAGGATTTTCCAGGTCTCTATGGGACCAAGGGAAATAGGGGAGACACCTGGCGCACAACATTATACCCACACTGTATAAACACAGTACACACACATTATACACACACTGTATACACACACTATACACACACTATACACAGAGTACACTCAATATACACACACTATACACACACTACAATCACATTATACACACACTGTACACATACATTATACACACACTGTACACACACAGTACACACATTATACACACACTGTATGCACACATTATACACAAACTGTACATACATTATACACACACAGTACACACACATTATACACACAGTATACACACACTGTACACACACTGTATACACACAGTACACACAGTATACACACACTGTACACACACTGTATACACACAGCACACACATCATACACTGTACACACACGGCACACACACACCATACGCACACTGAACACATGCTATGCACTTACTGTGTGCATCCGTCAGTACACAGTACATCACACAGCATACATGCCACACACACATGGAGCACACACTGCACACACGACACACAGTATTGGCACATGCGCTGTACAGAGACACACAGAGCTCACACACAGTCTCCACGTTACATCCTCACACACTCCACATGCAAGAGTGCGCACAGCCATACACATGCACACGCCACACCCACTCCACACACGTACATGACCACACACCCACTCTGCACCCTTCACACACAGGCATACACACCATATACACACCCAAGTGCACACACCGTCACATGCCCCATGGTGTGCACACCACGCACACAAAACGCTTTCATGGAAACGGCATGAAGAGACCCTGTGTGCATGCGTGAGGGATTCTGGGAGCAGCGAGCAGACCACGTGGGCAGGTTCATCACGGCGCCACCGAGGCTGCAGGGTGAAGACTGCCCGTGTAGCCGTGAGCGCTGGGAGGGCTGGCGGTGGCCCCGAGCACCGCCCACTCCCAGTCCTGACTCGGCCGCGGGGCCGGGCCTGGCTGAGCCCTGTGTGTGAGCTTGTTCTGGGCAAGGCGCCCGCACGCGTCAGCAGGAGGGGACGGTGTCCAGGGGACCCGCACAGGGCATCCCGGGAGTCCTGAAAAGGGGCAGAGGCACGGGCAGAGCCGCAGGAGGGCCTCGGCCAGGGCGCTGCAGAGCGGGGCCACCGCAGTGGACGGAGGCGAAGCACCAGCTCTGCCCTGCAGCTCCGAGGAGGGCGGCGCGGCTGCCCCGCTGGAGACGCCCGGGCTGCAGGACTCAGCCGTGCACTTCCGGGACACCCGCCACCACGCCGCGGTCATGGCCAAGGCAGCCGGAGGAGGGGCAGCTTCCAACTCCCCTGCGCGGGTCCCTGAGCAAAGCTCCTGCAACTCGTGGCCGTGCCCTCCACACCCCCCGGTCCTGCACCCATGAACTGTGTTCTGTTTGACTTTCAGCTACTTGAACTGCGACCCCGGGGCCGAGGGAGACCTCGAGGACAGCACGGAACGGACCCTCCAGGCCCTCAGGCCTCGGCAGCAGCTCAGGAGGGGAAGCAGGCGAGGACCCTCCCGTGCAGACCCTGCCGGGCGCCCAGGAGGCTGCGCAGCCACACAGGCGGGGACTCTGGACTCTCCCTGCCCAGGCAGTGCCGCGGGGCCTCCTGCGCCCTGGGAGCTCCTCTGCCTCTGCTGCTTGCTTCTGGCGCAGCACTTTCTCGTTCCTGCTGCCTCTTTATTCATCTGAAAGGCACACAGACAGACACACAGACAGACAGACGTCTGCCGTCCGCTGACTCCCTGCCCACATCCAGGGCTGGGCCCGGCCTAACCAGGAAGCAGCAATGAATCCAGCCTCCGTGTGGGGGCAGGAGCCCAGGGCTGCGCCGTCACCCACGCAGAGTGGCCGGAGCGGATTGGAAGCTGAGCTGGCACTCGGACGGCTCTGACACGGGGTGCAGGGTCCACACTGAGGATTTTTTTGTCTCAAGATTTATTTTATTTCATTGAAAGACAGAGTTACTGAGAGAGGTGGAAACAGAGAGAGAGGTCTTCCATCCGCTGGTTCACTCCCAGGTGGCCGCAACAGCCAGAACTGCACCGATCAGAAGCCAGGAGCCAGGAGCTTCTTCCAGATATTGCATGTGGGTGCAGGGACCCAAGGATTGTGTCATCCTCCACTGCTTTCCCACGCCATAGCAGAGAGCTAAATCAGAAAAGGAGCAGCCGGGACAAGAACAGGCGCCAATATGGGAAGCCGGCACTTCAGGCCAGGGCTTTTATCCCCCTGCACCACAGCACCGGCCCCCCAGTGCAGTCTTAACAGCTGTGCCACAGCGACCCTTTGACTCACTGAATTTCCAACCCCCTCCTTGCTGGC